GCTAAACCCAAGAAACCTCTAAGCAAATGGAGGTTCTTAGGCCTCAGAAAGTTACTCACGGCCATTATCTTTGATTCCGACGTGATTATGCCTTTGCCAGAGATTTCGTGTCTCAAAAATTCTATTCGTTCTTTCTGAAGAAATACTTATCGGGGTTAAGCCTCAAGTTTGCTTCACACAACTTAACCAGAATAATGTCAACATGTTCTAAGTGCTTTTCAAAGCTAGGAGAGTAAACATTCACATCATCTATATAGGCCAGCACAAAGTCCCACATTGCTTGTTGCAGCACACGATCCATCAACTGTTAGAGAGTAGCGAAAGCATTCGTCAAGCCAAATAGTATTACCACAAACTTGTACAACCTGAATTTCATCATAAACACCATTTTTTCGCAATTCTAGGGATGGACACCAACCTGCCAAAATCCGATTGCAAGGTTCAAGGTAGTGTACTAGACATTCTTGAGGGCACCTGGTAATTCGTTAATCCTTGGCAGAGGGTAGCTGTCATATTTCGTCTGTTGGTTAAGTTTCCGAAAGTCTATACACAGCCTCATCTTCCTATTTTTTTTCTTTACTAGCATGAAGGGAGATGCCTACCGACTATATAAAGGTCAAATTAATCCGGCTTCTTCTATGCGGTGGATTTCTTGACCTATGAACTCATGCTCCAGCTTCGATGTAGGGAGAACCCCAGACAATTATATGTAATGTGGGGGGGAATAAAATGATAAGATTTCACAAAACTTAACCTAAAAATTTTTAGATTTTATACCCACTTTTATACATACTACATTTAAAAAATTTAAAATTTACTTAAACTTTTACATATCAGATTAAACTATATAAAAAAAAATTTTTTTTTTAACCCAACCAAGTAAATATAAATTTTTAATTTATAAATCATAATAAGGCTATTTGAAGTTAATTTTTGGTTAATGTAACCCCCTCCTGGTCATCTCTCCAAAAACAAACAAGCCAATCACAATATTGTAATATTGTTATCCAATAATATCTTATCCAGTAATCATCTTGTGATTGGCCTGTTTAATTTTTTTGTTTAATTTGTTTAATTTGTTATACCCCTCCCCCTTTGTCCGAGCTCAAAAGTTGACATTAACTGAAGAATCAACTTCAAGCAGCCTAACTGCAAGGATCATTGTTTGCAAGGCCGACAAATTTACATACCTTGACAATACCCCTATATGATAGACAAGCGAAGAAAAAGATAATTTCCTCTTTCAGTCAAACAAGAAACTATTAGAACAATAGTTTAGGTCCCACAAACAGTTAACTCAAAATCTAGGTATGTGAAGATCATGAAGTCATTTGATCACTCAATATGATCGCCCTGTCACTCCATTGACAAGCTCCTCCAAATCTAATTAAAATTATCTCTGATGTAATTAAAACTTTTTGAAGTTTACTAGAATTGCTACAGGTCTGTCTATATTATTTGTGTATTTTCAAGAGAAAAGGACATTTTAGCAATTTAAATATATTATTGATTAATTATTGAGTTTAACAATGATACAAATCAGGATTTCAATAATACTATATCATATAAAATGTCTATTAACATATAAAATTAGTATAAATTACATATGGTTTAAAGTCCGATCTGTATCATTACTGAACTTGATAATTAATCAATAATGATAATATACTTAAATCGCTTAGGTGCCCTTTTTTATTGGTATAGAGATGCGATTCATTATCTGTTTTCATATTTAAAATTTAACAGATAACCGAATATCCAGATTCTTTATAATAAATTTGTTATAAAATTAAAGGTATGGGCTCAAATTAAAAATAATTATATATAAAGACCTAATTTTTAAAAATATTGCAATAACCAGCGCTTTATTTATCTTTCAATCTAATAATCAGTGTATAGATAACTCTAAATGCCTAGAATTAAACAATCATAATCCTATAATCACATTTTGCTATTGTTTATAATTCAAATAATCATAGTCTGTGTAGCACAGTAATCCTGCGATTATATTTTTTTAAGCCATTAATAGATTTGGGCTTTATATGTAATATTTTTTAAAAATTAGGCCCTTATATATAATTATTTTTAATTTGGGCCTGTATTTGTAATTATTTTTACTTTCTGGACCCTAATTTGTAAATTCTCCTAAAATTAATCTAATAGATGTCCAGATCACATCTCTAAGTATAATAATTTACCTCAATTATATTATACCACCTTAAAAATTGTAACAATTTATCTATAAAAAATCCTACCACTATTTTTTTATTTATCTCATTTTACCCTCCACATTTTTCTGAAAAACCCATTTTTTACATACCACCTTCTAAAAATTTCTTTTAAAATTTACCTCATTTTATACATACCAGATCAAATATAATTATTTGGAGTCCTATGTAGGGTAGAACCTTTGCTTTACCGGAGGACCTTCCTCTGTATGTATTTCATGTTGGACAACCAATGTCCTTCTTAGCTGATTGGGTTCTGTGCAAAAATGTCATCGTATTTATCCAAGACTTTCATCATCCGACTTTATTGTTTAAGGGTCATGTTTCCAAGGTTGTATTGGTCATTTGGCTTCCCTTCCTTATGCTGATAGTCCTTTCGATTCATCACCTCATTCTATAGACAATCTATTTCATTGTGTTCTTTCCTTAAACATACCCTACATACAACGTCAACCCCTTTTGTATAGAGTAGAACTTAAAATACAAATATGTTTGGCTTATTAAGCCTTCTTCTTCCTCATATTCCTCTTCGTCACTTGATGTTAATTCATCATCATCACCACTATCGTCGTCATCATCAGCACTTTCGTCCTCCTTATCCGCTTTTGCCTTCCCTTTTTCATCCTTTCAAGGAATTTGATCTCCAATATTTGCCAGTTTACAATACTCTGTTGGCACCTTTATTTTTTTATCACTATCTTTTATCATTAACTCACACGATTTCCAATCTAATCAGGCTCTTGCCTTTTTCATCCAATCATTTCCTATGATTACCGCATAATTTCCAGCATCGGTTACAACAGCACGAGATGTTATAGTTTTGCCACCAACAGTCACAGAGAATTCGTCAATTTCTCCTAGCAGCCTTTTTTGCTCACCATGTACTCCCACCATCATTACTGTAGAAGGTCGGTTGATCGTTATTCCAGAGTCCTTGAGAAATCCTACCGAAATGACATAGCCAGATGATCCACTATCCAAGATCAGAATGATTGGTTAACCATTTACTTGCGTATCACAGTACATTGATATCATGTAGGCTTTGTTGTTTGATTAAGGCAAGCTTTCTTTTGGTTATCCTTTCTGGGCGTGGAATCCTTAATGCCTCTTTCTGCACATTTGGAGCCACCTAAAAAAGTTGCGCATAGGTGATGTCGGCCTTCTTATTTTGCAAATCCACCATTATCGAGTATGGTTAGATTTTTACCATTACCAGATGTTCTACGGGCTTTGTCACTTTTCTTTTCACGGCCTTTTTTTTCTCTTGGCTGTTTGTTTGATTATTCGTTTAGGTGCTTCCCTGATTATGCTCATTATTATGATCAACTATAGGTGGGTTTCTTCTTCAACAGGTTCGTCATCATTATCACACCTCCTTTTTGCTATATAAGCCTCCTTTATTATACTTACCGAGGGATTTAAAGATGGTTGTGCACTCTCACCCTCTAAAGGTGTGCTTCTCAGTTTAAATGATCTATGGGGTCCTGTAATTGAACTAACATTGTCTGCACTCTGGGGACCTCTTCCATCAGCCTATTATCATTAACAGGGCCATTGTTTTGATTTTGCATTGGTTGGTTGTTTCTACCTCTATTCATAGAGTTAGCGGTTGGGCATTCAAGAGCAATGTGTCCTGGTTGGTGACAGGAATAGCACACGAAGGGTCGATTGGTCCTTTTAGGTCGGTTTCCATTCGCAAAAGGGTGGGGTCGACTATGATTATTGCTATTGTTATTATTATTCTTCATCATAGTCACTACCTCCTGTAATATGGCCATTATTTGATTTACAGTGTTCGACGCAGCTTGAGTTCGGGTAGGTATTGTAGGCTGGCAGTGCTATACGTTGGCTGGGATGGTGGTACTATGTGCTGAGCTGTATAACAAGCTTGGTATGGGGGTGCTACTGCTTGGGTCATTAGTATATTAATGGATTATACAAAGTGGGTGATCCATAAGCTGCTATTCCTCGAACAAAGGTTATTTTACAAGTCTGGGCCCTTTTAATTGCTTTCTGAAGGTTGTTTGATATAAATGGTTCTACTGCTAATGACAAATTAGGATGCAATCCTTGAACAAATATTTGATCCTTCGTTATCTCAGGATATTGGTTTCTAACTCGACATACTCGGTTAAACATTATCAACATATCTGTAGCATACTGGTCTACTGATTCTCCTATATGTTGTCATCAGGATAGTAACTTATTATTCTACTGGTTAATCAGGCCAGGGTACAGAAAGCCTGCTTAAACTGGTGCACAAAACTTTGACATGGAGCCTCTTCATTTTTCCAGTATTGCACTCCATTGTTCCCATATTTTTGATTTTCTTACCATAGTGTGGCAAGGCCAGAGAGATGGGCATCTACAACTGCAAGTCACCTCATTCCTACGATATTATTTGCTTCAAATGCTCTCGTTACTGCATCTATCCATTCAACGGGATCCTGATTTCCTTCACTGAACGTTGGAATCTTTATATGCTTTGTTTGTTCAACTCGTAGTGGGATTGTCAGAGCTGTGCCAACATACTAGCTATAACTTGCAATAACAGATTGTTTGTTGATTAGGGACATCTTGCTGATCGAGATTCATTAGGGGGTTCAGGCTATCCAAAAGAT